TCACCTGCTGTCTCACCCTCTCGTTGGCTGTAAGTATCCCTAGTAGCCGACTCAGGTGACCATGGAAGACACTGTCGAATCAGACCAACCCTTGACTCGTCGTCACGCAGCGGTGGGGGTGGCAAGACTGCTGTGAACTGCCTACGTTGTATACAATTATAGCTTAGAAAGCGTACAAACCAAGCACCCGCTCAGAGATGTTTGTTCATCGCGGACGCGCGTCTCCCGTAATTTTTGCCGAGTTGATTCCATCGACGCCTCAAGCCTCTGAATCTCACGATCTTTCTCTTCCTCTGGTGTCTCCGCCCAACCAAACATGTCAAAGTCCCCAAACAGCGATGAAGCCTGCATACGTGTCACCATGGCAGTCCCAACGCTGAGGCTTTCCCCAGCCATGAAGTACAGCTTCTAATGCAACAGCAGGATATATAAAATTTCGGGATCTACCCCGGGGCTGTCAACCTTGCCTTGACGCGTCTCTAAACGTAAACCTTGCCGGGGCGACCACCACGACTAGCGTCTTCACAAAAGCAGCAATCAATGAATGAACAAACACCGTTCTGCGACGAGTAGCTACAACCGCCTCGCGTCTTTGAAAGAACGTGAAACCCTTCGAGCGCAGGTCCCAAACTTGTCCCGCAGAATTTCGATCATGCCGTCTAGCTCATGCATCACACACGTAAAGCACCAGCTCCACTGTCTCCGTTACTGCTTCCTTATCGCATTCTGCTTGATTTTCTATGCAGCGCTTGGAAAACTCGTTGTTTTGAGCACATTCTGGATATATGTAACAATCGATGGTCTCTTGGCCCGACTCGCCGGTTGGGGTATTAGTACTATTCCGAAATCCTTTGATTGGACCATCGAATCGATCAGCGTCCGACCATCATGGAGTAGTGCTTATCCAACTGAAATTATCGTGACACACTGGACGTGGCACAACCCTCAACCTGGAACGCCTTCGGCCGCTTTCTATAGTCCATACCTTCTCCACGTAGACCGCCTGACATTTCGACTCGATCTTTGGTCTGTCCGCCGAGCATTGCACGACCGCTGCAGGAATCCCGTCAAGGTTCATGAGATCAGCCTTGATGGTGTAAGATTCTATGCCAAGCGCAACAAGGCTGACGCTCTTAACCTTTGGGTCGCTTTAGACCTGCCTGATCAGGTGGGTCAATCACCTTTGCAAAATATTGATCTCACCCACGTGCATAGGACGTAAATTTGGTGGTGCGGTCGTTACGGGATATACAACACCTAGAGGATCCCTCAAGTCTGCAGACGACCTTTCATGCGACGATGATGCAATCTGAAGTAGCAAAACGTCGTGCAGCACAAGCGGCAAGTTCGGCTGCGAAGGTTTCTAGGAACTTTCAAGGCTTAGGTCGATGCAATACGGTTCGTTTATTTCAGTCCAGATGCTCGCAAGCGAAGGAAGATAAATCACCTGCGCAAGCCTTGCCGCAAAAGTCAGGAAGTAAACTTTCGCCGATTACATCGCTTCTTGATGATCGGGGCCTCATACAAC